CCTCTGTCGGCGCCGCGCCCGCCTGGGAAGTGATCTCGTCATCGCCGCCCTCTTCACGGCTCTGGGGCTCCTCCTCCTCCTCCTCGAGGTCTTTTGGCTCCCTATGGGTATCTGCGTCTGCCTCGCCACCCTCGTGAGCACGGGCCGCTGCAAGGAGGCAGTGTCTGCCTTGTTTCTGCCTGGGTACATGCTCAATGCGGTCATGAAAGGGAGGGTGTAGCCTGGCATCTCCGCCCATCCTCCCCCCCGCCCTCTTCCCCTCCCTCCTCACTGGCTCCCTTTCGTCCGACACTCTGGCCGAGAGGGACAGCAGTGTCAGATGTGGGGGAGGATGTGGGGCAATAGAGACGGAGGAAATGAAGGGAAGGCGTAGGGCAACGCGGAGGGGAGAGAAGGCGGAGGGTCGGTGCGAGGCCCCAGAAACACAAGAGCAGCAGCTGAGACTGAGGGACTCAGACGCGCTTGATGAGTGTGGCGTGGTCCGATGCGGGTTTGTCAGCGGGCAGTGTGGGAGGGATGGGGTGACGTAGCAAGCAAGAGAAAGAGACGCGCCTCGTGAAGCCTCTGTGATACCTCGTCGGGTCTGGAGGGTGGTGGTGTGACAGTCCCCCTGGGGACACTTCGAAGCGCCTTGGGGACGGGAGGGAGGAAACTGTGGGGAGGCTGTTGCCCCGCGCGTACATCCTTAGAGTAGAAGCGCCTGGCATATTTCCTGGTCCCAGCGCGGACTTCACAACTTTCTCTCGGGCCAGGCCACGGCGGATTTTCGCTTGAAGTTTTCCAGATATGCCCGGGAATGAATGAACAACCCACAAAGAATTGAATGATCAAACGATAGATTAGGACCGGAGGTAGGAAACTCGGTAAAGGGAGTATTGTAACGATGCGCCGGTGGGCGGCGGACTCTGCGTGGGCTTTTGAACAAGATACGCAATCAGGCAAAAGAATATACAGGGATCGAGGACTCGGTAATCGCGTCGCCTTGACCGACACAAACGTTTCTGGAAGGGGAGGGAAGGGAAGAGATCCCTCTGCTGTGCCTCTCCGGTCTCGAGAGGAGACGGAGAAAGAAAGATCAATGACACAGCAAGACGCTCGCACCAATGCCATTTCTCATTTCACTTTCTTTAGCGTTCCATCTTACTCTGATTGCTCTTATTATTACTCTTGCTGTGGCTTTTCCCACTCCAGGCTCATAAAAGCCTGGAGGTTGCTCCGCAGTTCTCTCACACCCTCTACAGCTTGTGTCACGTCGGAGGCACGGGCGCCTTTGTTTACCTGAATCCACGCGGAGACAGGGCCGAGAGGGGGGGAGGGAGGGGGAAAAGGAGGAAGAAAACGAGGAGAGAGGCAGGGGAAGGTTGAGGGGCCAAGACTTTTAAACCGGCGGCACAAAATAAGCGCCTTGCGCCTGCCTTCCATCTCTTCGATACCTCCCAGCCCGCGGAGGGACTCCAATGGACGGAAGAGGGGGGTACGGACCTTGATGAGGCTGTACATGGTCGCTTCCCGGATCGAGTTCGCGGACTTCTTGTCCACCAGACCCTTCCGGGCCGTCCCCATCAAGTCTCCTCGCAAGTAGGCGTCAAATTGCCTCGAGGTCTGGAACGATTAGGGAGGATAGTTCACGGGCAGGAGGGGGGTAGGTTGCGAGGTGGGAAGACAAGGATACGAAGGAGTCGATCATTTACGAGGGAGGGCACACATATCTCTGCACAAGTTCTGCCATTGTGTAAGACTCAGCGTCCATACTCATCTTTTCCCTACCTACATCCCATCCGTTGTCACCCTCGATCCTCTCCGATTACTTGCCAACACCTTATTACCTGTTTTAGTGTCTCCCAGTCAGCATTCTCGATTGCCGTCTCTAACCGCTGAATATTCTTTTCTTCTTTCAACTCCGCCTCCAGTTTGGCTCTCGCCTCCTCAATCGCAACGATCTTGTCATCAGCTGCTAACGCGGGTGCAGGAGGTAGAAATACCGAGGAGGACAAAGAGAAGAGGACACTCGAAACGGCGGCAGCTTGTTGAAGGAGAGCGCCTCCTCTGTGTCTGAAGGCTTCCCTTGGAGCGCTTTGCGAAGGCTCCAAATGTTGTTTTCTGGCTCCCTTTGCTTTCATGGTGGGACAAAGGCGCGGTTGCCATGAATATACGGAAGCAGGATCGACGAGGAGGAAGAGTAGGCAGAGAGAGATGCTGCAGGTCGTTTTTTGTCGTCGGATCCCTCCTTCACATTCTCGTCGATGCGGCGTCGATATCCCACACTTCTCCATGTCTGCAACTATCGAGTACATCGAAATGTAGGATGGGGGAGAGTCAGGTTTTGAGGCAACTGCGCGGGAAGGGGCATCGAGACGGAGGAACTTGAAGATCAAGGACAAGGACACGGTGCTGCTTGGATACGGGGGAGGTCGGCGCATGCCTGGCTTCCCCGTGCGACACCAAGGAGCGTCCTTCCTTCCCTTGGTTCCTCTGAAACGCCCTGATATCAAAAATTGTACGGTGCGTTGCGGATCTTGATGCTGCGTGTGGCACCGATCGCGGCGTCTGAAGGGATCAAGTCGCTGGACAGGCGAGCGTCGCCAAGTTCGAGGTGGGTCAGGAGGGTAACGACACAAAATGTGCCTTGGAGACATCGAAGAGACGTTAAAGACAAATATGGGTCTTGTTTGAGCGCTTAAAGTGACAAGGAGGACAAATCTCTTGCATGGGCAATGCATCAAAAAGATCTTATTTATGTCTACAATTTCCGTTGCATTCCCTTCCACGGTTCAGTTACGACGTAAGTACTCTTTCGCAACTCAGACAAAAACACAAGGTAAAGGAACCACAGGCCTTAAGAACGACTGCTATTGAAACATTGCTTTATGTCAGATGAGGTTAGGACGTAAAGGAAGAAACAGATGATGTGTATGCGACCTCTTGCAACAAGTCTCTTTTTACATCCCTCTCAGTTGTCATCATCATCCAGTACAATTACTTCGACCGTCTTCCTCCCAAGCCCTTTCTCCTTAGTGTCAGAGGTAAATTCACGCTCGTCCCATCCTCTTCCTCTTTCCTGCACTTTCCCATCGCTGTTCAACCCTTTTGAAAGCTCCTCCCACCTCAGGACCTGCTCCTCTACGTCGATCTTTTCGAAGTCAAAAGTTTTACGCTTGCCTCCCACCCCTCCCTCCAAGCGTCTTTTATTTGGAGGAAGAATCTTGAGGCGCTTCTCTTCCCCCCTTCCCAAGTAGCGATCGAGGCGCGATCTATCGTGGGACAGGTCCATGTCAGCCAGGAAATGCTTGAGTTGTCGCTCAACCCCTTTCTCGTCCCCTGCGCCCACGGTTGGTATAATTTTCCTGTCGCGGAGTAGAAGAGGGTCCAGAGAAGTAAATGACAAGGAAATTTGCCGTAAGCGCCGTTGCAATGGAGATAACCATCGCGGGAAAACGTATGGGCTGGGGGTGCCCCCGAGACTTCTGGACTCATTGAAACACGCCCCAGGCGATACATCCAGCACCGACACGCGTCACCCTCGTCACCCTCTTTATATTTTGTACCTGGGACGAATCGCCCGCACAAAGCTTCTCAGCTCCGTGTAGGAGGAGTGCTCTGAATAGGGTACCCAGTAGAGCTTCGCGCCATTTTGGGGGTTCACCCAGGGGGTGTAGGAGGAGGGCGAGGAGGGGCAAGCGTCCCGAGCCGTCTTCCTATTCCGCAGGTAGCTCCATCCTGGGAGAGGTAGAAAGCATTGAGGACGAAGGATCATGCTGAAGAGTGGACGAACGTAAAGGGGACACGGCAAGACCATCTCTGTGCCCGTGCACGCCAGGGCCCGCTCCCTCCCCTACGCCTCGACCTCCTCGTCCCTGTCGCCCTACCTGTCGGTCGAAAGCCCACGACGGGACGACACGCGTCGTCCCCCTCCTTCTCTTCCTCCTCCTCTTCCTCCTCTTCCATAACCCCCGCTCCCTCCTCCTCCTCCATCTCCCATCCTCCCTCGTCGTCCCCCTTCTCTCCCACCTCTGTCTTCCCTTCCCCCACGCCTTCCTCTCTCCCCTCCTTCTCCTTTCCTTCCTCACTCTCCTCGTTCGCCCGATCCATCTCCCATCCACTGTGCTCCTCATTTCCTCCCACATCTTTCCCCTCCTCCCCTTCTCTCCCCTCCTTCCTCCCCTCCACGCCCCTCTCTTGTCCCATCCGCCTCGCTCCTGCCCGTGGCCCCATCTTCTCCGGCCGCAGCCTCCCCAGCCACGACATGCGCACGTGCGTGCCCTCCATTTCCGAGACGAACACCTCCTCGTCCCACTCCGACGCCAGCCGCAAGGTCCTCTCCTTGTGTTTGTCTGCGTATACCTTGCTGCCTGCAGAGTGCGAACAAGCCAGGGCCGGGGGGGAGAAAGGCTGA